TAAACTCAAATAATCGTATGAACACAATCACATTGTATATGGACAATCCCCGGCTAATGGCACATGTTTGCTGGTTTATAAATCTTATTCACTCGTTCCTTATATCACCAACCCTAGTTAACCAAGTTATGTGTACCAACTTAGTTATCATCCATCACCTAGAAATCCATCCAAATCACAGGTTTTGTTGCTTAAATCATCCATTTCCATCAATTTTCCTATAAGTTTCCTATAGTTTCCGATTGCAAATGGGCAACATCACCTTGTGTTAATTTCCCACTTACTACAAGGTGGTGCCCCAGTTCGTTAGCTAAGTTGGTTTATAACTCCAATAACTATGGTTTATGGTAGATGTATTTATACTTAAAATGGTTTATAATGTTTATAAACAAACTTACCATCTGGTTATTGAACATAGCCATGGAAAATCCACCCATTTTTAAGAACGGTAAACCATCTATTTCTATGGACCATCTATACCATGGCTATGTTAGTCATAACCAGAGGGTACAACTAGGGGGGTACCGCCGCAACGTATTCCCACTTCCCACTTCGTGCATTTCCGCAACGTGGGATCCCAGACGTACAACCGGAGGCATCGGCAGAGAGGGAGCCGGTGGTGCATGTGGACACCACCTCAGAGGGGTGAAATCTATGCCCAAATGTGTGTTGGGATGGGGCAGTTATCCAAGTTACTATGGTGAGTTTTCTATCTGGAACTGCACTTCCAAGGTATGAAACATCCGGTGTTCTCTCATAGGGTTATGCATTAGATACCCAGTTACTAACCAGTGCAGCCAGTGAACGGAGGTTTTGTTTTGTTCATTCATATGCAATGACCCCACGAATCGCGGACATTCCATCACAAGGGGTGGCTATCAGTATCAACTATTGTTGAACCTGATTGACAATCATTCACCCTTATTAAACCGTACCATCTGGTTATTTAACATAAGTTCGGTAAGCCATCTATTTCTATGGACCATTTCCCATGGCTAGCCCTGTTAGTCATAACCAGAGGGTAACTCCAATAAATCCCA